TTATGAAAAGCTACTCCAGGTGTCCTAGTGAAAAAGCAAATTGCAAATAGCTGTTAGGACATTTAACCTGGAAGGTAAACTTATAAAGAAATATGTTGAGTAGGAACTGAAAACGGAAGCTCACATGGCACTCTCCGAGTTGATTTACTTTCTCTCAGAAGCCTGTTACATCTGGATGCTTCACAGAGAAGGCAGAGCCCTTCTTGGGCCAGAGTCTCCTTAGCACTTTCACAGAATTTGCCTTTTTTTGTTTTAAGAACATCTTAAATTTATAATCCTTTCTTCACAGGTTACTAGACCACTTTTGATTAAGGAAACTGTAGAAAGTTAGTAACTGCCACGAGTGAACGCCAGGTGGTGGCACATGTCAATTTTCCACAGAGTCCTGCTTTGCGGGGTGTCTGATGCACTGCTCGGGGTCTCTGTTCACACTTGCTGGGACCAATCGTGGCAGATTTTAGTCCACAGGTCGCTTTTCCCCATAGTTCTTTGTAAACTCTTCAGCGTTCTTACAGAATGTTTTACGGTCCTTGGAGTACTCTTCAGATAGGTCAGCCATGAGCAGGTGCTCGGGCTGGGGGTCGTTCAACAGTGCTATGAGGGACAGGATTACTTGGTTGGTTTTTGTAGCTGGCTTCCAGTCTTCAGCACTAATTACTGGCAGACAGACTTGCCCCTATTCGTTGATGTTTGGGTGATAGATCTTTGTTTTGAATGTGATCTTTGGTGGTTTGATGGAAAGTTGATTTCTATTCTGAAGGCCCCCTTGTCATACGTAGGGTTGTTCTTCATCAGCCTTCTGCTGGCCGCCATCTTGGACATGGCGCTGTTGCTTTCCCCAGAATTTGACTTTTTATGAAGCAATCTAGAGTCTATTGATAGATCTTCGTTTGCATGTCTCAAGGCCTACCACCCATCTGTCAAAAGCTAATGTCTACACTCGCATAGACATTAGCTATTTCATCTGTCAAAAGCTAATGTCTACACTCACATAGACATTAGCTATTTCATCTGTCAAAAGCTAATGTCTACACTCACATAGACATTAGCTATTTCAAATGGACGCTAGGCATTTTCCCCAGCAGGAAATGGCATTTTTAACTCCCGTAGACTAGTCCTTCTCCCTCGTCAAGCCAGGAGACACATCTCTCAGAGGTGATGGAGTCTTGAACTTTCCACCAGGGAATAACTGTGGATGTGGGAATGACAGGGTCCTGCTTTCCATATTCGAAACAAGCAATTTGAGTTCTCTTGTCACAAGCCTATAATAGACTTTATAGAAAATAATCTTTTTTTTTTTTTAACCATTGCTGTTAGTGAGAATGTTAGATTTCAATTCTGTGGTTTGCTTTTATTTTTCAAGTACTTTCATATACATAATAAAACTCTTTAGACATTTACAAACTGTGGCAAAGGCCAGTATGAACTAAAAGGTCATCTAAATCCTGAGATTCATTTTAAAAAAAGAAATACCAGTAAAAGCAAATGTCCAATTCAAGAAGTAGTTGGCGGTACAGAGTACCAGCCCCATCATACTTTCAGAGAAGGATTTCTACCAGGCTCCCCAAACAGATCATATCAATAGTTATGATCTCAACTGATGCAATGAACAGAACAACCAGGGCCCACTCCAAGTTGTGCCTGATGCATGAGACTCCGCCGCGGGTCAGCAGTGTCAAGTAGACCATGGGTACTGTCTAGCTTCTCTTCTCCCTCACCACAATGCCAATTATCCCAAGCTCACATTCTGTGTAATGTGATTATAAGTCAGATATCACAATGGAATGAGGAAAGAGACATGGAGAGGTGATCACTGGAACAGGAGAAGAGGAATTCTCTGTTGTTTAATGAGAAATGAGTACTAGGAGTTCTCATTTTCTCCAAACTAAAAAGCATTGCTTTCAAATATATATGGCTGAGAATCAGCTAATTCTTGAGGGGGAATCCTTAGTTGAAAGAAAGGTACTAAAAAAGTAATGATTTTTAATGACCTCCAAAGAGGTCACTGTTATTTCCCCAGTAATATAGAGGACGAAACTGATGTTCAGAACGGTTGACTTTCCAAGATTACACAGCTAGTGGGTGTAGAGGCAAGGACTTAAATGCATGTCCAGCTGGATGCCACGTGGCCTTGCCTATTCATTGACCATATTCCTACACAAGAATTTGTAATTAACATATGAAATGTGTTTAAAGTAATACTTCTAAATAGCCTACTGAGGCTTGGAGTATTATGCTCTCATAAAAAGCATGGCATTGCAAAGTCAAAAGCCTTCCAGCATCCAGGCAGGAAATATGAATGCGTGAATCCTCCTGGAGGAGGGATAATAAGAAACTGTAGGACTTAGAGAAAACTGGAGCCTGCTGCCTGACTAGAGACTGAAAAATCAATGCTTTTCAAGTGTAGCTACTAAAACATTTCAGTATGTACCTGTTTATTATTAAGCACCCTGACTTTTCAAGTGATGAATGTGCAAAATTGCCATACAGCGTTTTTTCCATTTTCCATGTTAAAAAGTTAAACTTCAGAGGCTTGTACACAGATAGACTAGTTGAGACCAAATCAGAGAGGATGCATTCTTCTTCTTTTAAGTTAGCCCCAGAACGATAACAGGTAAATTAGGAAAATATTGTAAGACCCAGCCTCGTGGCGGCCGACTTAGAGGCGCATCATGCCCGGCTTCACGACTAGTCAGTCAAGTGGTCTGTAGCGAGGTTCAGAGGAGAAGGGGCTGAGAATGCTGATGGGAGTTCTCAGATCTAGCATAGCACCAGGGTCTGACATGAGAGGCATGTCTGACAGGATAGAAGCTGACACACTTTGGCAGTGAAGGACACACTAGAGCAGACATGGAAGGTGGAGAAAATGTGTGCAGTTTTCTGAATAATGAAAAACAATTCTTTAAAGGGTTCTAGCATGAATATTTTAAATACGAGGAAGTGTGCATTGTTCTGTGATCAAAAGCCATTGGTTTGGTGGGATTATGACCTGGTGCAGCTGCTGTGGGAAATAGTCTAGTGGTTCCTTAAAAAACTTAAACAGAATTACCATAAGACCCAGCAATTCTACTTCTAGGTGTATACCCCAACTTAAAAAAAAAAATAAAAATAAAGTATAGAAATGTTTCTAGCAGCACTATTTAAAGTAGCAAAGAGGTGGAGACAACCAAAGGTCCATCAACAGAAAAATGGATCCAGTGGATATTATGGATAGGGATATGATTTAACCACAAAAAGGGATGAAGTACTGATACATATTACAACATGGATGATCCTTGAAAACATTAGCTAAGTAAAAGAAGTGGTCACAAATGACCACCTCTTATGTGGTTTCATTTTTGGGGGGTCAGGCAAGTGGCGTGATGGTTAAGGTGGCTGGATCTCACATGGCTAAGTGTGTAGTTCGAGTCCTGGACCTGGCAGCTTGGAAAATATACCAGATGTGTGTGCGTTCATGTCCAAAATCCCAAGAGGGGAAGGGATTGAGGTGTGGCCATCCCCCCAGAAGGCGATTTCTCGCTTTCCTTCTCTCTTTTTCTCTGGTGCTTGTATGCAGTCTATAACAAAATAAAGAAACAAAAACAAAAACAGTGTGGTTCCATTATGAACTGTCCAGGATTGTGCCTAATATATAGAAATGGAAAGTAGATTAGTGGTTGCTTTGGGCTGAGGAGGATGGGGCGTAGGGAGGTTATAGCTAAATGGTATGAGGTTTCTTTTTGTGGTAATGAAAATGTTCTAAAATTGACTGTAGGGATGGTTGAAAATATCTGTGACTACACTAAAAACCATGGAATTGCACACTTTAAGTGAGGGTATCGTATGATAAGTGAATTATATCTCAATAAAGGTGCTTTTTTAAAAAAGGACATTAGTTTTCTGTGTAACCCATTCCATTGCTGACAGTTTTCTGAATTCCTTGCTTCAGGCCAGAGTGCCACCAGTTGATTATGATAATGGCTTGAGCTTGGGTGGCACCTTTCTTTCAAGGATGTCAAGTAGTTTGCAAACACTAATTAAGCCTGCACTGCTGGGAGATTGGTAAACATTGTTTTAACTCTCACAAACATTCAAGCAAAGCCACTCAGGGGATCCCTGCATGGATGCAACTGCTGTAACTTATTTCCTCTGGCTGGTTGGCTTCAGAGCATTTTTAAGGATACAGGGAGAAAATTCCTACTCACTGAATGTTCACTAGGTGCTTCTTACTATTGTAGGACCTTCCATGAACACTTCATGTCATTCAACTTTTACAACTCAGGAAGTAGGAATTGTCCTATGGGGCCAGGTGATGGTACAGAGGTAGCACAACTGAACCCACGTGAGAGAGGTCTGCACCCTGGAACCTCCCTGAGCACACCGGGAATGAGTGTGCACCCATGGACTGGGCCAGCTCACAGTAGGGGTGGATTGTGGAATGAGGATTCTGTTGGGGGGGGTGCCTGTATTTCTGTCCCTGTCCCTCTTTTTCACCATCTCTATCTCTCATAAAATATGTAAATAAACCTAAAAGAGAGAAAAAAGAAAAAGATTTGTTTCTATACAAGAAGTCTTCAAAAAGCTCACAGAAAATGTATTATTATGATAAAAACTATGTATAGATTTAAAAAAAATTTGCACCAAAATAAACTGATACTTTCTTCCATTTTTCCACAAGTGTTTTAATGTCCCCTCTTGTGTCATGCAAGGAAGTTGATATCCAGAGAGGGTGAGTGTACTTGTCTAAGTTTTTGGCTACAAGAATACTCTAAAAAGTCTAACCTACAAAGGGATGCGTTGTAAAAAGATCTAGAAGCACCCAGAATCAATAGAGCATCAGAGCCCAGGCAGGAGGCTGAAGCCATGATAGGTGGTTGCACTGGCATCACCTCTATCTGTGCCCACCACAGCCCTCACAGTCTTCACCAATCTTGAATACTTGAAGTCAGATCCCTAGAGCAGGGATTGAACTGTGGTTCTGATTAATCTCTGACTTTTCTATATTTTGTTTACTCTTTTAGGAATCAGTGTTCTAAGCCCATGAACCCAATTTGCCAAATGTAAGCCAAGGTGCAAAGAGAAGGAATACCACTCCAACTTACCTTTTATAAAGGAGGGAATGCCTACCCAAGCATCCCCAGAAGCAGGTGAAGTTGGGATGCCAGATAGCTAGAATGGCATGGACGATGTGAACACAGTCTGCTAAGTCTAGTGTTCTTTCTGTTGCATCAACCTGAGCTCAAGCTCTCCAATGCACTTGTTATGTACTGGCTACCTGTGCAAGGTGCTGCCTGCCATGTGGGGAAGGCAGCTTTGGGCCAGTTGGAGGTCAGGAGGGCAGTGGTGAAGGAACGGCACAGTGAAATATTATGTATTCTGAGGAGATATCCTTACCAAGCTGTGGGAGCAACCAGGATGGGTGCATAACCAGACTTGAAGAAGAGGAGGTTTCCTGAAAGGCAGTAGATACCAGTTAGTGGACTGGCATAGGTCCAAATCTCAGCTTTTGACAATTCTGTCCCCTGAAGATTGTGTGTGTGTGTGTGTGTGTGTGTGTCCTATTAAGTATTTGCTGAAAGCATAAATAACCATCCTAACCACCTGCCATTTAAATTAGTTAAATGAGAGTAGATTTATTACTTTTAATAAAAAGGATTCTTATTATAGCAAAACTACTATAATATATGTGCCAGCAG